GAGAGAGAGAGAGAGAGAGAGAGAGAGAGAGAGAGAGAGAGAGAGAGAGTGAGAACTGGTTCTCGCCTGCCACTTTTATCCCAGTCCAGCGACATGGTGCATCACTTGTTGCAGTTGCAGTGAAAACAGTTAGCTGTAATGCCAATAACCTGTATAGCTGCGACTGTGTGCCACGTAGCCCACCTTCCTTGGACTTTATGACGGCATTTACCGAAAACCTAGCAAGACCATAAATTAGCCCTGATTGTGCAGATAGTGTGCAGTGCGTAAGGCGACACCTACTGAGCATGAGCTAAGCGCTCCCAAACTGGGCAAACTGACGCAAGATAAAACGCCTCGGGCTGTGAGCCACCCACATGCGCGAGATAGCCTGCGGCTTATTTATAATTGTCACAGTTGGCGCTGCCTCCAAAATAGCAGCTGACTCAAATTGAGAGCACTGAAACCTAATCGGCACAACGACTGATACTACGAGTAGCTGCCCGGGCTTTGGACTGTTTTTAGGGCACTGCTGTTTGCTCTGCTCGCTCGTTAGCTCTTGTCATTGTCTTTAATTGGATTTTGAGAGCGAGCGCTGAGCTGACTAAAAGATACAAATGCGATGCCCGCTCTACATGCCCGACAAACGGCAAAGGCTAAATACAAATAACAACTTTTTCTAGTTTTTATTTGCATTGCCCAAGTCATACTGCCATACTCTATATTTAGCCAGTGATGCTAATTAGTTGCCTGATAAGATATGTAACAAATAAATCATGAGTCACATAAAAGCAGAAAATATTTTGATTGTTGCTTTATGATCTACGGATGTTTAATATAATCAGCATGCAGATTTTTATACGCTTATGAAGTGAGGAGAGTATATTTGGGTATTTTTGCAATATCATGTTTCTGTTTATCTATCTATTTCAACTCTCTCCAATATATCCGTCTTCTGACAGCCATAGTCAAGGCAATTGCGGCTCATATTGAATCAAATCAAATTGATATTTAATTATTTTTCCTTTAGCTTTGCTTTGAGTTTTATTTCAAATCAGTTTCGAAGCTGAATTTATGACCTGAATATGAAATTGATTGGGTTACGCAGCGAACGCTCAACACTGAGGAGTATGAGTGGAGTTTACTCTCGTTTTTCCAAGTGCTGAGATCTCTCTTTGGATACACCCACGTAGGCATGGTAATATGGGAAAATAATTATTTTGTATTTTAGAATGTTGCATTTGTGTTTATTAATAGTGAAAATTGTTACAATTATCTGGAAGTAAATATGCAGTGGATGGAACAGTCTATCTAAATTTTGAATACATTTCTAAATATATCAAGTAAATATAAGCTTACCCTACTCTCGGTCAGTTTCTACATTACTATATTGTTATTAATTATCTATGATGACTTCATATAAATTAAAATCAAAATTGAGGGCGTGTCAAATTGGGTAGAGCTGCATCTGATGGCCTTAAAAGCCAACAATTATCGAACCACTTTAGGCCCTTATAAAGGTATCATTAAATGGTCAGACTAAATAAACCGTATCTAATCTGAAAATCTTGATATTGTGTTAATTGTAGACATTACTAGACAGTAAGCGGGTATTACTCAGTCAGTAGTAGCCGGAGCAAAGTTGCTACCACTTTTCATAAAAGACTTTATATTGTTGAATAAAAGGTTAAAGTCTTGCCTGAAATAAAATTATGACCCACAACAAATAATTAATAATGGTAAAGTGCGTTTCTTCTGCTTCACTCAGGTAGTACCAAAAGTGAAAGCGAGTGTATTTGCTGTTCGGGCAGCACTTTTTTCCCCCTTTGCCATTTGTTTGCATTTGTCAGCAGCGAGACGAGCATGTCGTATGAAGCTTTATCGGCCAGGTAAAAAGCGGAAACGCGAAGAAACGCCAGAAATTTACGAGCACTGGCCGGTGGCTTCTTTTGGCAAGGCTAACAGCATTGAAGCGTTGAGCAACAAGTGGTCAAGTCAACGTCAGCGTCAGGTTCTAATCACATTAGCACACTGACCAACAATGGACTATTAGAACAAACGTTCGCGACCCGGCCATAATTTTGCGGCTCTGAAAATACATTTTATGGCCGATTCGAATGCGGAGCTATTGTTTGGCCAGGGGCCGGCTTAGAGGTGTTCACAGGCCAGGGCCCACGCCAATGAGCCATTGCGCAAGATTTATAGCGCCTCTGGCCAAGGGAGTCTTCGACTCTTCGAGTCAACGAGTCTACCAAGTACATTGGAAACACCTCGCAGAATACAAATTACTTAAAGCTTCCGTTAGAACTGGCAGCAATTGCTTTAAGCCGCGCCGCAAATGTGGGTCTAGGTCGTGTCTGACGTCGCCCGCGGCCACAGCGTAGCAGAGTCTCTGTGTGCTTAGCGAAGTGTGCAGCCGGCTGAGAAATTCTTTGACGTCCGAATTCGGCTGCCAATTTTCGGTCGGTTAGTGTGTGACACAAATTTTGGGGTCTGCACGGTCTGGCGAAAAGCAAATTACAATTTATTCGCTGCCAACTGACGAGTTTTGGGGAATGCGACAGCCAAAATACACACTGAACGGGGGGCGGAGACAGCAACAGCAATTTCAGTTGCATCTTACGCCCCCTCCATTGGAAACCCGTTTCCGACTACCTTGGCTTTGTTTTTGTTGATGTTGATTACGATTATTTTCAATTAAATGTGGGAGAGCATTCCGCAAAAGCTTTTACGCAGTCTGTTTACATTTCGTATATGCTAAACAGCTGTTCGCCGAGCGAGCGAGCGAGAGAGAAGGAGGGAGAGAGAGAGAGATTAAGAGAGCGCCAGCACACGTGAGAGCGCGCGCTGTAAACGAAAAGCTAAGCCCCAGCAAAACTTTCGTCAATTGATTGAGCGGCAGCCCCAACAACAAAGCACCAGTGCTGCCAACTTTTTACCAGAATAAAAAGCTGTTTTTAGATGGAAGAAACGGAAAAAAA